AGTGCTGTGAAGGGTAACAAGAAGAGTTTCTACAGGTATGTTAGCAACAAGGTGGTGGTCAGGGAAAGTGTGGGACCCTTACTGAATGGTGGAGGCAACCTAGTGACAGACGATGTGGAAAAAGCTGAAGTACTCAATGCTTTTTTTGCCTATATCTTCGAAAACAAGGTCAGCTCCCAGACTGCTGCACTGGACAGCACAGTATGGGGAGGAGGTGAGCAGCCCTCAGTGGTGAAAGAACAGGTTAAGGACTATTTAGAAAAGCTGGACATGCACAAGTCCATGGGTCCGGATCTAATGCATCCGAGGGTGCTGAGGGAAGTTGGCTGATATAATGGCCAGGGGTCTGCAATCACCTTTGAAAACTCGTGGTGATCAGGGGAGGTCCCAGATGATTAGAAAAAGGCAAATATAATGCCATCTTTAAAAAAGGGAAGAAGGAACTACAGACCAGTCAGCCTCACCTCAGTCCCTGGAAAAATCATGGAGCAGGTCTTCAAGGAATCCCTTTTGAAGCACTTGGAGGAGAGGAAGGGGATCAGGAACAGTAAACATGGATTCACCAAGGGCAAGTCATGCCTGACCAACCTAATTGCCTTCTATGATGAGATAACTGGCTTTGTGGATTTGGGGAAAGCGGAGGACGTGATGTATCTTGACTTTAGCAAAGCTTTTGATACGGTCTCCCACAGTATTCTTGCCAGCAAGTTAAAGACGTATGGATTTGATGAATGGACTATAAGGTGGATAGAAAGCTGGCTAGATTGTCAGGCTCAACGCGTAGTGATCAATGGCTCAATGTCTAGTTGGCAGCCGGTAGCAAGTGGAGTGCCCCAAGGGTCTGTCCTGGGACCAGTTTTGTTCAACATCTTCATTAATGATCTAGATGATGGGATAGATCAGCAAGTTCGCAGATGACACTAAACTGGGGGGAGAGGTAGATACGCTGGACGGTAGGGATAGGGTCCAGAAGGACCTAGACAAATTGGAGGATTGGGCCAAAAAAAATCTGATGAGGTTCAACAAGTTCAGAGTCCTGTACTTAGGACGAAGAATCCCATTCACTGCTACAGGCTGGGGATCGACTAGCTAAGAGGCAGTTCTGCAGAAAAGGACCTGGGGATTACAGTAGACAAGAAGCTGGATATGAGTCAACAGTGTGCCCTTGTTGCCAGGAAGGCTAAAGGCATATTGGCCTTCATTAGTAGGAGCATGCCAGCAGATCGAGGGAAGTGATTATTCCCCTCTATTCAGCACTGGTGAAGCCACATCTGAACTATTGCGTCCAGTTTTTGGCCCCCCACTACAGAAAGGATGTGGATGAATTGGAGAGAGTCCAGCGGAGGTCAATGAAAATGATTAGGGGGCTGGGGCACATGACCTATGAGGAGAGGCTGAGGGAACTGGGTTTTATTTAGTCTGCAGAAGAGAAGAGTAAGGGGGGATTTGATAGCAGCCTTCAACTACCAGAAGTGGGGTTCCAAAGAGGATGGAGCTAGGCTGTTCTCAGTGGTGGCAGATGACAGAACAAGGAGCAATGGTCTCAAGTTGCAGTGGGGGAGGTCTAGGTTGAATATTAGGAAATACTATTTCACTAGGAGAGTGGTGAAGCACTGAAATGGGTTACATAGGGAGGTGGTAGAATCTCCATCCTTAGAGGTTTTTAAGGCCTGGCTTGACAAAGCCCTGGCTGGGATGATTTATTTGGGGTTGGCCCTGCTCTGAGCAGGGGGTTGGACTAGATGACCTCCTGAGGTCTCTTCTAATCCTAATCTTCTATGATTCTATGAATTGCCTGGAATTCCTTGCTTTCTGTCTGGGTATCTTTTACAAAAGCTTGACCACATCAGAAAATGCAGAGCCTAGCACCACTGATTTTAGTGGTCACCCCTAAGAGGAAACCTCCCCATCAGTGCTCTGCACGTTGGGGTAACTGAATGGGCACTTTGGAGGCCTGGCTGCCCTGCTGCACCTCCGATGGAATGTTCTGAATCAGCACTTCTGTGAGCATCACCTGTACAGATTCCCAGCAGTGTTCAGAAGAATTAGCCTTGGATTTGAGGATTTCTCCTTCAACTCACCATGAGGCAACCTTGTATCAGACATCTGGGAGTCTCCTTGGAGAGCCTAAACAACAACTTAGAGGCATTCCCCATGTTTCTTGAGTGTACTGGATGACATCATCAGACAAATTTCAAATCCATGGATGTCATAGGAGGCTTCCAGGCACGGTACATGCTGCATATGGTCATCTGCGTTGAACATTGTTATGCCACAAGATTGTGACTTGAAGCCAGAGACCATCCTCCTTCAAATGGCATTTGTAATAGAAACATGAGAAACTGCTGAATAAACTAGTGACATGGAAGAAACAAGAAAATGTGTGCAAGTGTTGAACACCAGTATGTATTGAAATAGAAATGCCAAGCTGTTACAATTTTTATTAAGGTTCTGGAAACTCAAGCTTCTCTGTTGGTGTCTATAATTTTACCAGAAATGCTCAATAAAAATGTGGGTAGTCTTTCTAATCTGAATAATTTACAGTCACAGAGCATGACTGCAGTTACCTTTAATCATGCTAACTTGGTTCATGGAACAGTGAAGCTGCAGCAGGGCAAACTTCAGTGTGGGCTATACCCACCTAGACCCCTGGGTAATTACTCATGAAGCTAGTTCATGTGGATGCTTACACTGCACAAATGTAATACACTTAAACAAGTGTAAGGCATTTTCCTTAGCAGCACACAACATGCTATTAAAAAGTTAGTGCTAAACAACCTCAATAAAGCACACGTTTAATTGTTTAAGGGCAGGCCAACTGACAGATATCACAAAGTAGCTATTAATGGAGAATCATCATTAATTGGGGGTTTTCTAGTGGGGTTCTGCAGGGTTGGTACTAATCCCAACGTTATTCAACCTTTTTATTAAAGATCTGGATTTTATCAGATCAGATTTTATTAAAGATCTGGAAATAACTATAAAGTCACTGCTGATAAAATTTGCAGATGACACAGACTGGTTGAGGGGTAAATAACAATGGGGACCTGGCAGTCACATAGAACAATCTGGACTGCTGGTAAACTGAGCCCATACACACAAAACACACTTCAGTATAGCTAAATTCAAAGTTATACATCTAGGAAGAAGGAATACAGGCCATACAAGAAGAATAGGGGGAACTGCATCCTGGAAAGCAGTGACTTGAAAAGCATCTTGGAGTCATATGGATAAGCAACTCAACATGAGCTCCCCGTGTGATGCTGTGGCAAAAAGGCATAATGTGGTCCTTGGAATGTATAAACAGAGAAGTAGTGAGTAGGAATAGAGATCTACCTCTATATACGGCATTGGTGAGACTGTTACTGGAATACTGTATCATCCAGCGTGGGTGCAGAAAAGAACTACAAAATTATCTGAGGGCTGGAGCAAATGCTTTAAAGTGAGAGACCTAAAGAGCTCAATTTGCTTAATTTAGGAAAAAGAAGGTTGAGAGGTGACTTGATTAACATATAAGTACCTTCACAGGAAGAAAATACTGGTTATGAAGGACTTTTTAATTTGTCAGAAAAAGACCTAACGAGACCCAATGGCCGGAAACTGAAGCCAGACAAATATAAATTAGAAATAAGGCACAATTTTTTTTTAAAATGAGGGAGAGATTAACCATTTGAACAAACAAGCAAGGGAAGGGGTGGATTCTTCATTTCTTGATGTCTTCAGTATAAGACTGGATGCCTTTTAGCCAAACACAGGTAATGCTTTAGTCAAATACAATTTAATGGGCTCAATGCGGGGATAATTTAGCAAAATTTAATGTCCCACAAGACACAGAAGGTAAGACTAGTTGATCTAATGGTCCCTTGCCTTAAACTGTATGTATCTATAAACATGCTGGGTCTGAAGATTAAAGAATTAGTAGACCATGTCTCTTTCCGCTCTCCCAATACTTTAAATTTATACTATTTTTATTTGAAAAATTCAGCATAATCATGATGCTAAAATGAATTTCAAAGAAAAGAATATTCTTACTAGGTACTCCTGTAAAACCAGATAATTTTTCAGAACCCCTTTTAACACTGCTATTGATGTTAACATGTGAGGCTTTCTTAGTTTAGTTTAAAGAAAGGGAGGGTAGGGTTCACAGTGCAAAGTTGTGTTAACAAAACAATTTTTCTTTTATTGTTCACTAATGAGACAGTAATTGCGACCAAAATCCTACTGGGAATGTAAGCTTTTAAATATAATAGGCCTAAGGACAGTTTTCACTGTATTTATGATGATTCTTGGATTCATTTTGTTCTGCATGAACACACTAGCACTAAAATGTTTTCATTTCACATGAAAGAAATTTCAGATGAAAGAAACTTTTAGTAATGGGAAAGTCGTAGGATCAGCTTCAACTGCAAACACAATTCAGGTTTTTCTGTACAGCACTATGAGAGCAATGCAATTAAAGGAAAGGTACATTTTTATCTTAAATGTTCTGTTAACCTTTAATTAGGAAAAGAAATAGCTTTTTCTTAAATGGCTATAAGTCCTGAAATTACCAGGACATCTTCTCGTCTTAATGTAATTACAGTTTACTGTATGCTGATGAACAATATCATTCATTTCATTCTAAAATATTGAAAAAAGGTACCTAAAATTAAATGTTTTTTTGTGTTTTGTTAGTTGTCATAGAAAGAAAGAGAGAGGAAAAGTAACTATGAGTAGAAAGCCATAATAAACTATGATAGGTTTCTCACTGATAGATTAAAAATATATATAAAAATATCAAAGCAGAGTTTCCATCTAATATTTAAGACTTAATGGACAACACAGAAGGTTTACTCAATGACCCCTAACATACAGATATAGTTTGCTGCTAATGTCCCAGTCATGATATTCTAATCCAGACAGTAGCACTTCCCCCTTTGCAAGGAATCTAATGTCCCAGTACCTTAATCAGTTTCTAGTCTTTAAAAAAATAAAAATGTAGTAGCAACCAGCACTAGTACCTTTCCTGGTGACCGAGATCAGATAGAAATTCATCAACATGTCTTTGGAGTTCACTTCCCTCCAAATTTTTCAACTTCTTCAATTCACTCTGAAGAAAAAACCAAAGTTCCTTGGCTCCATTTTCAATCCTTCTTCTCAATATTTCATGGTCTTTCCCCATGCCTGTTATTAAAAAGCATAAACATATCAGTATTTCCAGTGAAGTGGTACATGATGAAATTGAAACATTTGTGATATGGTATATAAGAGTTTAAGAACAAAAAGAAAACATCTCTCTACCAACCATCTCCAGTTCGTTTCTTATAGTTTTCTATCTGCTCTTTGGCCTTTAAAAGCTGCTCTTCTAAAGCATGTACCCTTCCTGCAGCTGGCCCCTGATCAATGGGACCATCCGGTATCCTAGAGCACAGGGAAGAAAATTAAAGCAATAATTAGGTTTATAAATTATGTAATATTTGCTTACTTCACTAAAACTAGTTACTGATAACACTTCCGGTATTATAACACATATAGAACCAACAAAACTCCAACAGAAACTTCTTCCCGGTTCAGCAATAATTTACACAAACAAGACTACAGTTCTTTAACTAAAAGGAAAATGTCAGTGTAACACAAGATACTCTAATTATCACAACTGTATTAGGATAACTCAAAATTTCAGCAGCTAAGGTAACAAGTGGTGGTTTCTGGGCAGATACCTGTATCAAGAACAAACTTTAGAGGTGGCTATTAGGTTAGTCTTGGGAGACAATGGGGGGAGGACAAACAAAATGTAATCCCTTCTTATGAACTCAATGACTTGAGGTTAGGGCATGCTTTTCCAAGATAAAACATTTATTTCTGATGATCTGTCGTTCTTCAGCAACTACAGTTTCAGATTATTATGGGAAAGTATACTCTGCAGGTAACACCCACTGTCTGGCCTGTTAAGATTTTATCTTTATAGCAATCGTTTGTCCTCAACTATCTTTACAGTGGCTCTTAAAACTTCCTCTTCCCTGCCTTCATTCAGGAAATGGGTACAGAATAATAATGTAGAACTGAAGTGATAAGCCAAGGCAACAAGAGCTACATTGCCAATCATGGGCAAAAAGGCACTTGCTGGAATATGGAGGAAATGGTATTGGTAGTCTGAAGACAGTGGTGTAAGACAGCAAGTCTTGAGCTTCGATAGCACTGTCCAATGTAGAACTACCCTCAGGAGTCAAACTTCTAGTCCCCTGAGATTTTTCTCAGTCTCTGTGACACAGAGGCCCATGGTGGTTCACCACTTTGTGACAGCAACTCCTGTCAGGCCTGACATAATCACTACACTTAACACACTATTGTCATGATATATACCCAAAAGGTGACATCTAATATATTCTTGGAAAACTAATGACTCACTAATCATCATTAATATTCTTGCATGATATACATATGGAGTAGGTTCAAAGAGTTTTAAGAATTACGTTCGTAAACTATGTTTGGAAAGCAATGCATAAGCCCAGTCTGCCTTAGACAAAGGAATATGCATTTGTTTGTCTGACTAGCCTGGTCATCAGGCAGAGACAATGAAGATACAGTTACATAAAAAGTAAACAAAGCCATGAACCTACCGAGTTGGGGAGATAGCCTCTTGCAGGGGTCTGAACCTCAAATGATAAGCAATTGAATCAACTGATTGCATACAATACTACTGTATTATAAAAGTGTATCAAGTAATGTATTTTATGAAAGCCTGTAACACACTGGTGATGAATATCATTGTGAAGTGTATGCATTAACACTTCGTGATGAATTATGGATACTCACTAATATTATGCTTTGAAGTCTGTGACCAAACACAGGGAGAAACAGATTTTTCCCCAGCCCCAAAGACAGCATTGTGGAATCAATAGAATAGAAGCCCTATTTACATACAAATCAGCAGAGGGGTGGGAAACACACAGGCAGGGAAGAACAGCATGAAGTCATCCTGCTTCCTGAAGCAGGGTTAATGAACTCAGAGATATAAGGGGATCCATAGAGCCACGTAGGCGTCTTTCACCTAGGAAGACAAGGGAAACCAGGACCTCATACTTCTGTGGAAGGACCTGACTCAGAGAAATCAGCCATGGCTGGAAAGAAGAAAGACTGGTAAGTAATCTATATTTAACCAAGACTGTAGCTTTTTAAGTCTTAGTCACTAGAAAGCATATTTTAATTTTATTTGCTTGTAACCATTTTGGTCTTTATCCCTTGTACTTCAACTCACTTAAAAACCTCTCTTTTTGTTAATGAACTTAATTTATTTTTAATGTAAACCAAACCAGTACTCTGTTTTAATTGAAAGGATTGTTAACTCTAGCTGAAGTAATAAACAGTGCTTTTGTCTCTTCAAAGGTGCAACAAACCTTAGTATTTGTCTGAGTGTTCCAGGACAGGGCTGGACACTTCAGGGCAACCAGTTTTGGGGAAATTCTGGAGGAGGACTGGAGTCACTTTGCAAGTAGTAACCAAGGCTGGTGGAGACCAGGGTGGGGCAGGTTGTTGGGGTCAGAGTGCTGAACCAGAGCTGCACAGTACACAGACATTCAGGGAACTGTACGCTTGCCTGCTGGATATTGGTATCTGGGCTGTGAGCCACAGCAGCAAAGCTAGGATTACAGGGCAGGTGATGACAACTCCTTACTGGTCTGGGTTGAACCCCAAAATGTCACAGTCTCACAATAGGAAGGCTGACAGCATACAGAACACCAAAATATATCTTCTTCATTCCAAACATCAACTAACTCCACAGTTACCTCTAATGGATCAACGGTTGGCATAAAATCAAGAAGGGCCAAATCAGTATGAATACTGAATCTATAATCTTAGCGGGTGATTTCAACAAAATATTGGATCTAAACTTTAATTAAAAAATAAATTAGCTGTAGACAAGCCATCATCAAAAGTATGCATTCATTATACTGGATAAAGCAATATATAGCAACACCAATGTTCCAGAAAAAGGCTACGCAGAGCTCTTGCTCTGAAATTCATAAAACACAGTCAAATATTTCCTTAGTACAAAAAACCCTTCCAAAAACTTCTGAAGATGCTGTTGGAATAACAGAAATATTAGTTATTAAATCTTTCTTTATTGTACACAGGTACTAAAGTTCGGCGTAGAAATGGCAGGGTATTCACCCAGGGCAATAGCATCGGCACATTCCCGTCAACTGTCCAGTTAAGCATACAGTGGCTGCATAGGAACCCTCCTGCTATTTTTTCTTCTTTACTGGGACCTGTGGACTGTAATCCTTCCAAACTGCACATCTACGCAAGCAAAGAAGTGAACGTGTTCTTAAATGACATTCACAGTTTGGGTCCCCCAAAGATTCAGTGGCTGCCATGTACTACCTTGGGTAAAAACTGACCAACTGGGATCATTTTGACCAATATCATAGCAATAGTCTGATCTCTAGCTCTGCCAAAAAAAAAAAAAAAAGCCATCTAGAAACTTTTTGGGCAATGGCTATTTTTTCAGGTTTTATATCTCCAGAACCCCTGACTTAAATGAGTCTAAATTTGGGTCACTAACTCTACCCACCACTCCAGTAATGTAAAGCAAATTTCAATAAAATCTGTGCAAGCATGCATATTTTAGAGCTTTTATAAGCACCATCCTTTAAATAGGAAAGAGGGAAAGCACTCCTCTACGCATCCATCTGCAGCATTGGAATCTCTCAAAGGTGTGAAGTGGCCCATTCATCTCAATGTGATGTTCTCAGATAAGAACAAACCTCATGGAGATGAATATAACCTGAAACAGTTGGGACAGGTGAACTGCTCCATTTACCTCAGTGTTGTGTTGTCATCCCCCTCCTGAGTGCTTTACAGCTTGTGATATACATAAAGTATGCCTGATCTTAATTCCCCACTCAAAGGGGTAGGACTTTCCCGGATGTCGGCTCACATGGGGGGCAGGTGGGGGGCCTCAGACCCTCCCAAAAGGGCAACACCCCCCCCAAAAGCCCAGCTCATAATAATGGGGTGTGGGGGATTCAACTCCTATTGATAGGCATGAGCCCCCAAATCCTAGAACATACAGCAGCGAGAGGTGTTCAGACGCCCGCAGAGTGCCACAGCTTCCCATATGCCAGCTTATATGAGGGGAGCACCGAGTGGGTTCAGACCTCCAAAAGGGGCAAGAGCCCCCCCAAAACTTGGGCATGCGCACACACGAAGGAAGATGTGGGGCTGAAATGTGCCCCTTCTCCATACCTCCTCCCGTCCCACTGCCAATCACCCCATGTCCTCCTTCCCAGTGTCCCAGCCCTCTACCCCCGAGTTCCCACACCTCCCTCACCTGAGCCTTCAACCTCTCTCCCCTCACCTACCACCTCTTCCCCATGACCCCCGTCCCCTCACTGCAGCCTCAAATTCCTTTCCCCTTATACCCTCACTCCTCCATTCATGAAAACTCCTCCCTGCTCAGGAAGTATTCACATCTAATTTCCCCCCCAAAGACTTGGATTATGTTCTCCCCAAAATAAATTTGTCACCGATGACTCAAATTGCAGCAGGTTCCAGCCACTCAGTACAAAACTACTTTTGTTTTAGGTGGGGGCTTGTGATTAATTTATCCTTAAATTATGTTAATTGAAGAGCCAGTTCTCACAGAGGTCTGTGATTCATCCAGTCATTTGTATCTCAAAGTTTAACAGTACAAGGCAGCAGGAACAAAGGTTTTTGGGGTTCTGTAATTGAGGAACTCCTTAGTCAAATGATCACAAATTTGGATCACTAATGCTACCCCAAACTCCCATGAGGCACACCAAATTTCAAAGCAAGCCAAGTAACCATTTGGATTTTAGATCACTTACAAGAGTCAAGCTTTAAAGCATATAAAATAGAATGAATGGAAATCCTTCTAGCTGTTTTTCTCCATTGGCACATGCACACTGTAAAAATGTACATTTTCTTAAATACCATTCTCAGTTTGGGTTCCTCAAAGATTTAGTGGGTACAGTGCGCTATCCTGGGTAAACTCGACAGATTAAGACCATTTTGACCTGCATCACATCAACAGTTTGATCTCTAGCTCTGTGCAAAACACAAAAAAAACAGACCTAGACGCTTTTTGAAAAAAATGGCTGGGGGGGGGATTATATCTCTACTTGGCTCCAAATTTGAATCACTAAGCCTAGTCTGCACCCTCCTGAGGCACACTACATTTAAAAGGAATCCAATTAAGCATACTGATTTTAGAGGATTTAGAAAGGTCTACCTTTAGAGTTAGTTTCAGAGTAACAGCCGTGTTAGTCTGTATTCGCAAAAAGAAAAGGAGGACTTGTGGCACCTTAGAGACTAACCAATTTATTTGAGCATGAGCTTTCGTGAGTTTCCACGGTATGCATCCGATGAAGTGAGCTGTAGCTCACGAAAGCGCATGCTCAAATAAATTGGTTAGTCTCTAAGGTGCCACAAGTCCTCCTTTTCTTTTAGAGTTAGTGTTGTGTCATGACTTCTGTTTATAGTGGTGCTGCCAGGCCACTATAATATATTTAACATACCCTTTGAGGACGGAGGAGTTTTGGGAAGTGTTGTGGGCATGCCTGCCCTGTGGCAGCTCCTGCTGAGCTATGTGGCACTGCATGCCTTAGTTTCCCTTCTCTCAGGGTCCCTTAAATCCAAACAGATGTAAGATTAAATTCCATGCTGGTGTTCTACTTTAATGAAATTCAAAATAAACTTGAAATAAAAACTTTCCCCTTGGTTTGAGGAATTGCAAAGCCCTCCTCCTTGGCGTGTGTGGTTCTCAATTCTGCGAGCGAATCTCCCTTTGGAGAACTTCTCTCTCTCTGACCATGTGCCTCTAACTGAGGGCTTGTCTACACTACAAAATTAAGTTAAACTTATCTAATTGAACCTCGAGCCCCCAAATTAATTAAGTCAATTGTGTGTGGCCACATTAGACCCATTGTCTCGATGTAGTGCATCCTCACTAGCAGCACCTGCATCGATGCGCAAAGCAACGCACCATGGGTAGCTATCCCAAAGTGCAACTTGCCACAATGCCTCATGGGACCAAAACGTTGTCACAGGAGAGAATAGGAACATTGCGTTGGCATCCCACAATGCACTGTGTTCCCTCCTTCACATCAACAGCAAACAACCCAGTGGTTTTCGCGTCTTGAAATCGCCACCCGTACGCCATAACCCCAGAAGCATGGAGTCTGCTCAGCTTGCACTCTTGCTGTTAGCACCTCAAACACCTTGCACCTTCTCTTGCAGTATTTCCAGAGCCAAAGTAGGGGCCGCCGCATGGAACATAGCAATGTCCTGCAAGTGGCCCTGCTGCAAGCCATTGAAAAAAACAGTTCACAGTTGCTGATGAAAGTCACAGAGCAGCTGCAGTCTGTCAAGCACTGTTTCTGGTCCCGTGAAACAAGCACTGACTAGTGAGACTGCATCGTTTTGCGGGTATGGGAAGACGAGCAGTGGCTGCAGAACTTTCGAATGCGGAAGGCCACCTTCCAGGAACTTTGTGCAGAGCTTCCCCTGCCCTGCAATTCAGCAACACAAAAATGAGAGCTGCACTGAGAGTGGAGAAGCGAGTGGTGATCGCTATTTGGAAACTTGCAATGCCAGACAGTTATCGGCCAGTGGGGAATCAATTAGGAGTGGGTAAATCAACCATGGGAGCTGCTGTGCTCCAAGAGTGCAAGGCCACTGATCGACTTCTGCTATGAAGGGTAGTGAGTCTGGGAAATGTGCAGGATATAGTGGACTGTTTTGCCACAACACAATGGGATTCCCCAATTGCAATGGGGCGATAGATAGCACACACATCCCCATCTTGGCACCAGAGCACCTTGCCAAAGACTACATAAACCGAAAGGGATACTTTTCAATGGTGTTACAAGTGTTGGTGGACCACAGGGGGCATTTCACTGACATCAGCGTAGTATGGTTGGGAAAGGTTCATGACGTGCGCATCTTTAGTAACTCAGTTCTGTTCAAAAAGCTGCAATCCAGGACTTTCTTTCCAGACCACAAAATTAATATTGACGATGTTGAGATGCCTACAGTTATCCTGAGGGATCCAGCCTACCCCTTGCTCCCATGGTTCATGAAGCCATACACCCTCTGTCTGGACAGCAGTAAGGAACGGTTAACTATAGGCTCAGCAAGTGCAGAATGGTGGTTGAAATGCCTTTGGTTGTTGAAAAGGCGCTGGAGAACTAACAAGGTTGGACCTCAGTGAGATCATCCCCATGGTGATAGCTGCCTGCTGTGTGCTCCATAATGTCTGTCAAAAAAAGACGGAAAATTTTCCACGGTGGGCAGTTGAGACAGATCGCCAGGCAGCCATTTTTGAGCAGCCAGACACCAGGGCAATAATAAGAAAGGGGCACTGTGTATCCGCGAGACTTTGAAAAGCCATTTCAATAATGAGTCACAGTATTGTGAGCTGCTTGTCTGGATTGTGCTTTCCCAAACCTTCACCTAATTGGCATCACTGTCCCTGTAAAGCCAACCCCCCACCCAAGCCCATTTATTTTATTTAACAAACATAAGTAAAGAGGGAGAAGAGAAAGAAAAGGTAACCTTGGGGGAAAGGGGTTGTAAAGTTAGAACAGGAGAAACATTTTTAGCTGTGTAACATAATCACATTCCAGACCACCAAAGGTCTCTGAATGGGTGTCTTCTGTTCCTTGTACCCTTCCCCCCTCCGCCCGAGTTAAGTGAAAGGGATAATTAACTTTTCGCCCATGCCTCAGGAAACGTTTGAGGGAGGGTGATTTTGCGCCAGGCGATGCTGGCTGACTGTCCACCAGGGTCTGCAGAGGGACTCTACCCTCCTGCTTCTGTTCCCGCATTTCAACCAGATACCTCAACATGTCCGCTTGGTCCTTCATAATCCAAAGCATCTCATCCTGCGTCGCACACTCTTGCTCATTGGAAGCTTTCTTTCTCTCTATGTCCACGTCTATCTTCTCGGACAGCGAAAACCTCCATGCTCTCAGCTCTGCGTCAGTTGTCCTGGAGGCGTTCATTGTCTCGGTGAACACGTCCTCCCACATTCTCTTTCTCCTCCTTCTAATCTCTGAAAGTCTGCTTTCAGGTGTTGATGACCCGCCGAAGGACACATTTCCAGCTGTCACTCAGGGGAAAAAGATAAAGGAGCCATTGTACACAAATAATATGTTTCCATAGCAAGGCAGTTTTCATTAAAAAAAAACAAACCAAAAACCTTTATTACACTAGGTGCAAGCCATAACATAACAAGAATCCATAACCATTCACTGTGTCATTTTGCTGTTCCAGCCATGGTGAGTAGCCCCCCCCCCGGGTCATAGGTGACCTCACTTTTAATGAAGTTTATGACAGGCTCATGTCGGGAGCACAGGTAGCTAGTCAAACAATGGTTCTTCCCCATAGCACCACAGGAAGCTGTTTACGAATGGGGCAAGGGAGGAACATTTTCACTCCCAAATTGCGGAATCTCTCTTATGGGACCCCAGTCCCCTATCAGCCACTTTAAACTACTTGCCAACCTATGCCGAGCACAGTAAAGGCACATTAGTGGACGCATGGTTTGGCAATCCGGAATGTGGGGGTGGGCGCGTATTTGCCCCTTTTTTTCCCCGTGTCAGAGCACTTTTAATGAGAACTTGCCCCGTTTCCCCTAGGCAACCCTATGTGATATCAGTCTCCTGCGGGTAATAGAGGCAGAAATGAAGGAGATGCTGCAAGCATCTGGGTATAGACCCAGTCCTTATGCTGTGTACTGCAATGATGCCAGCAGAATTAATTCAGGAGTTGTGTGGGAAAGTGTCCTACCACAGTGAAAGAAATAAGACTGCCCTGCCCAGAAACCTTTTGCAAAGGATTGCAGAGTACCTCCATGAAAGTTTCCTAGAGATATCCATGGAGGATTCCCGGGCTATCCCAGTCCACATAAACATTCTTTTCCAGGGGCCACCCTTTGCGTAGCTGGAGCGGCCTCTTTAAGCAGAGAGCCACAGCACCTCGCCTTTTCTTCACGGTAAGCATGCAATACCTCCGAATGTGTTTGCCCGCTAAAGTTTAACTGGACTTTCATTTTAACTGTATGCTCACCAGACGTGCCTTCCCTAGCATCACGATCCACCACGGTGATCTCCTGTGACCCATAGGGCTCCAGGGTTAAAAATATTTCCTGGCTCTTGGGGAGAATGGATCCACTGCTTGCCTGTCTCCCATTATCCTCCTCCTCCTCCTTCTCATCCACCATATAACCCTCCTTGTTGTCCCTAGATTCACACACCTGTGAGGTGTCCACATTGCTTGCGGGGGTGCTGGTAGGGTCACCCCCGAGAATCGCATGCAGCTCATTGTAGAACTGGCATGTGTGGGGTTCAGCACCAGAACAACTGTTCGCCTCCCTTGCCTTCTGGAACGTTTGGCGAAGTTCTTTTATTTTCACACAGCACTGCGCTGTGTCCCTCATGTAGCCCTTCTCCCCCATTCCACGAGTGATCTTTGCATAGATGTCAGCGTTTCTTCTGCTGGATTAGAGCTCTGACTGCACAGACTCTTCTCCCCACACAGTGATGAGATCCACGACCGCCTGTGCAGACCAGGCTGGAGCACATTTAGGGCGTGTAGTCTCCATGATCAGTTGTGCTCAAGCTGGCACTCTCCCAATGCTGATCAAACAGGAAATGGAAATTCAAAAGTTCCCAGGGCTTTAGCAGGGGAGGGGCTTTTTCCTGTGTACCTGGCTGCAGTGCAGCAGAGTTGAGAATGATCTCCAGAGCAGTCAGATGAGAACTGTGGGACACCACCTGGAGGCCAATTAAGTTGAATTACACAACGCTGCGTCTGCATGACTTCACAGTCGGGCCATGAAAATCGAACTAAGCGCTACACCTCTCGCACAGGTGGATTACAGAAGTCGATGTAAAGGACCTGGTAGTGTACACACATACATTAACAGGTCAACGTAAGGCGGCTTCCTTCAATGTAACTCTGTAGTGAAGACCAGACCTGAGTCCTGATGGCCTTTTATCAGACCCAGGTGCTCATTACTCAATTAGCTGGCTAGATGGGCTACTTAAACTAGCTCATCACAGGCCTTGACTCCCCTTAAAGGGAACAGTAATCCCATGACAGGGAGGATGGGGCAAGAGTCAGGGGTAGTATGAGGGAAATGAGAGTTTTAAACTGTCCCCTACCAAAGACCACTATGCTGCCATTTCAGCTACACTTTACATCCATTAAAGTCACCTTTCTACAGTAAAAGCTAAGCTAAGAGCTATTTAATACTCCAAAGTTAGATTTTTACAAAAGAAAGTGAATTTAAATTGGCTATTAGACTGCAATTACTGATGAGAAGGGCAGTGAGGCTTCTGAGGATAAGGAGTTGAGGGAAAGGGTCCAACTAGACAAGAGAAACTTTCTAAAAGAGAGAGCAAGCACCCACACAAGAACATGAGCAAGGAATGAGGGTTATAATACATATTCAAAGCAGTAGAGAAAAGATTTTATAACCATTTCCTTATTGTAGTTTTGTCTCCTCTGAATCTGTTACCTCATCAAACTTGGAATTGCTTTTCCCCCCCATTTCTCAAAATTAGGAAAGAGATTCCTTTCCTCAACCTGCACAGCCAGCCCATCAGTATCCACAGATACATCTGGAGAACTGCATGTGAGACACAGTGGCAGCTCACCAGTGAGATGTCTTTGCACCAAGCAGCTTCGACATATGCCTGGTAACCCTATTACAAGCTCCAGCAGATAATTTGGATTATAAATACTAAATGTTAAGTATGTTTTTATATACATTTTCTTGAACAGTTCCGCTGCTTGAAATTTTCTAGATAATGTTACAGTCCAAACCAAACTTTGACATCTAATTTAGGATGATAATTTTAGAGATTATCTCCAAAACTATGACACAGCCTTAACAACAGATGAACATGTCAATATAGCTCCAGTACAGTATATCTTCTTGCCTATTTGTTTTTTTTATCTTTCTCAGTAAGATAATATAATAAACTAAAAGGACAAATTAAAAAGGACAAATTAAAAAAATAAACCTCTTGACATATCCTTGACGTACCATGCGGGGTTTTTTTCTAGTACAAAACAACCAACAATTTTGCATATGCTGTTTCCTGCCAGCTCACAGTAAACAGAAACCATTTTTTCAATATGAAACCATGGCAACTGAAAATATTTCAGTCAGATCTTAAACATCTAACAGCTCTCAGAGATTCCCCACAATTATGTTTACTTGATATTTTGTGCCTTGTTTAGTGGTAAAATTGCACATGCAAACGACCATGCAAGCAGAAAAAAAGTATTTTGTTTAAAACATCCATTTTATTAAAAAAACATTTTCACATAATCTCCAGGTGACACAGATGGATGTCAGCACAGGGAACCAAACAGAAAATGTAATCATAGTGACATCAAATTTAGCTGAGGAGCACTGGTATGACATATACAATAGGTCCAAGACTTCTACATCCAGTAGTAGGTATTAACACTGGAGCCCAAGTTTCACTGAAGGAAAAGAAACTGACAAATAACAGAGACAAATAAAGCTTTTGCCTAAGATATAAGGGTTTTTTTTGTGTGTGTGTTTTTTTTAAAGTACAACAGCCATCCCTATGAACCATAAAGAGATCTCAGAGATACATAGAATTCCCTCAAAAATCCTAGAACAGTAAATTCTGAATAAACTATTCCAAGATCATCTGTCTTTAAAGAAAATTTTACAGCAGAGTAGAATACTCCAGGTTGTATAATCTCACTTTAAAACAAAATACTGATGTTAACCAATTTGATTTATTTATTTTTGCATATCAGACCTTCCCTAAGAAAAAAAGGTTTAAGTGCCTACGGCGCTAATTTTCTCTCAGCCTCTAGATATTTTAACAGGTTACAATGAAATTCTCTCTACAAAGAAATGTGAAAAATTCCTAAAAGCAATCTATTGAATCTGTTGATTCTTTTTATTTGGCTTTTTCTCAGCTATTTGCATGGAGTGGAAGGTCTACTAACTGACTTCACCAACACTGGGATTTGTTTTTCTTTGATACTTTCCTTTAATTCAGTAGTTTTTATTATGGGAAGGAAACAATACCCAGTTACTGAGGTAAGAGGACAACTGGCAGTAGCAAATAAGCATAAAGAACACAAACTGACTTGACTCTTCTACAAGATCAACCTTAGAAAGAGGACAGTACCAATGAGACAAACCTCAGGTAACTAAAACCAGAAGGGAAATATTAAAGGTGACCTGCAAACAAATATTGGGGGCTTCATCCTCGGCTGATGTAAATCAGCACAGGGCTATTGATTTAAATGGATCTATACTGCTTTATACCAGCTGAAGATCTAGCCCTTAGTTTTTAGAATTATATGCTGAACCAGTAAAGGTAACAGCGATGATTATCATATAACAACTGAAAAACTCCCCCCACCCCATTTTACACACACTTGCTCTCTGTGAAAGCCCAACTCCACACCCAACTTCAGATTGGAGCCACCTATAGGGATATAATAGAACAAAAATATTTTAAAATTATATTAATTTGCTTGGTTTCTCTTTAAAAATATCTTTGTATCAAAGGAGCCTTTGATATGTTTATAACACTAAGCTCTACAAGTTAAGTCCTCACTGGTGCTTAATAAGTGCGGAGCAGTTGAGGGGAGAGCCACAATGGGGCTGTTTGAAGGTAACTGATTTTGAAACCGGTTCTATGGCAGCATCAGCCCGAAGTGATTTAAGGTACGCACAAGTATCTCCCTCAAATTAGAAACCTTTCTGTCCTTTATTAACAAATGTTTAGAGCTACATGAGTTATGTCTAGTATTACTGATGTTTGTAATAGGTTTGATTTTATTTTACCCTTTTGCCTCCCTTTCTTAAATATGTTCCTATTCCAGGGTAAGAAACAGATTCTTGAGATTAATTTTACCTAAAAGAAACACAGGTTCTACAAGACACAAACTGAATGTTTTACAGATTATAGGAACAACAAGCAATTAAAGTTTCCTCTGAACTAGTACAAAAAACTCATCTTTTTCTGAGCTAGCTACTGAATTTCAGGTGTGTGGAACCTGTAGAGAACTCGACTGTCCTATACGTGTTGCAAGTAACTT